TTTTTTTTTTTTTTTTTTTCATTGTGGCATTTACTCAAACAGTTGATAGGCGTCACACAACCTAACTCGAACACTTTGAATTATAGCAGGCAGTATACAATCCACAACTCCAACAACCACAATTCTATCAACAATCCCCATATTTCTACGGCTATTCTCGAACATTTCCCATTCCTTCACCGTCTCATCAACATCGTCTTCCTCCGTCTTACATGTACTACCCGACGCTTCCCCCAGCTCAATTCGAACCTTCCTTCAACTACCCTCCAGCTCCTCTCGTACCGCACCGCTTTTCTCCTGCAGGTACGTATCATGAATTAGGTCAAATTATAAATTTCAATAAGAAATTGAGTTAAAAATAAGTAAACATCTTAGTTACCGTCACGTCGTCTCGTTACGAGAAGGTTAAAAGTGGGGGCCATGTGGGTAAGGTAAGGGTAGAGCCATGTGAATGAGCTGTGTATTGGGGCCAATGAAATGGTTGAGAGCAAATTGATGACAGACAGCTACTGAACTCACCTGCATATCCATGTCACTTTTCAACCTTATTTTTCAACTGCCCCCTTAATTTCTTTCCCTTTATGTTTTCTCCCCTCTAATTTTCCAATTTTGCTCATATACCCTCATTAGGAATAATGTTACCACCAAATACATACCCCTTTTACCCCTCATTTTTTTCAAATTTTCAATTTAGTCCCTAATTTAATAAATATTCAAAATTTTAATTATATTCGTAAAAAATAAGGTAATAACCTAAAAATATCCTATGTTATTAATGGTTACAGTTGAATAATGTGTTTTTTTATTTTATTTCTTAATTTCCATTTTGGGTAGCTGTGTCCAGCTGCGTTTGAAAATGGACCACTTTGGTAACGTCTAAATTAAAATAAAACATTATTATTTATTCTCATAAAGTTTTGAACATTAATATATAAAAAATATATATTAATTTCAGATTCTCAGACATCTCAGACATGTCAGCAAATTGGAGCTGAAGCTGGAGCTAGAGAAAGTCCGACCACTTAACACAGAGAATAAGAATGTCAAAAACCAAACCGAAATTATTGGTTCCATTTCTCATGAAAATAGAAAGTAAAAAATGGAAAGGTGGAGAATAGTAAAACTGTAAAAAGTTGACAACTTGATCCATTTGAGATATTTTTTTCACCCATTTTTATCTCTTGCTGAGTCTCAACGTCAATTTTTAGAGAAATTCCATCTTTTTTTTGTATTTTTATTTGTTTATCGAGGTATTCGAGATGTTTTTTTTTTTTTTTTTTTTTTTACAAT